GATTGGCAGAGTAACTGTGAACTCTCTTCTTTGCAGATGCAAGGTTTTCTTCTTGGGACTTTTAGGGTCCCAGACATTGTGGTACCTGTCTGCTCAGGTCATCGTCTGAACCTGCCACTGCGTGACCCCAATGCTGGGCCCTGTGCTGTTGGCAGCAGCCTGTCCCCATGCCTTCTTCCTGCCGTCCCATTGCATGGAGGGTCACCATCTGTGTCGGGGTGGGTCTGGAGTTAAGCTGACCCAGGGTGGCAACACCACCCCCTCTGAGGGACTTGTCCCTGTACTTTCCAGGCTTCAGTTCCCAGATCTGTGCAGTGGGGGTTGTGGCCCTGCCAGAGCCATGAGGCTAAGGAGACCAGGCTTGTGAATTGGGGTCTGTGACCCCGGCTGCTAGCGGGCTGTGATTGCAGGGTCCTGGAAGTTCTCCCTGCCCCTCTTCCCTGTCTCCTGGCTTGTACACTCAGTTCTCCTGAGTCTCTTTTCAAGTGCAGATACCTCCAGCCTCTGACACCTTGTTGTGAGTTGTGAGTTGGTTTATTAGATTTGTTTGGAGCTGGGTGGCAAAGGGAAAGGGAATCCAGGAGGGCAGTTTGAGGCCTCCCTGATTTCTGGAGAGAGGCCCTCCCAGATTTTCCACCCTGAAGGGCGCCATGCAAGCTGGAAGCTTGGCTGAGCACAGGCACCATGGGGGCATCCCACCTGCTGTCAGCCTGGCAGAGAGGACTGACCCATGAGGGACAAGTGTTACTGAGCCAAATGAAATTACCCCAAACATAGTGGCTTAAAACAACAGACATTTATTGTCTTGGAGTGACTGTGGGTCAGGAATTGTAGAGCAGCTCAGGTGGGTGGTTCTGGCTCGGGGTCTCTCCTGAGGGTGCAGTAAAGATGTCCACTGGGGCTGCATCATCCAAAGGTTCCCAGGGCTGGAGGATCCCCTTCCAAGATAGCCCCTCACATGGCTCTTGGCTGGAAGCCTCAGTTTCTTGCCACGGAACTCTTGTGGAGCTTCTTGAGTGTCCTCTCAGCATGGCAGCTGGTCTTCCCCAGGGTGAGTCATTTTCCAGGAGAGCGCAAAGAAGCTCCAGTGCCTTTCATGTCCTACTCTTGGACAATATATGTGTCACTTCTGCCATAATCTATTCATTATAAGCAAGTCACAGAGTACAGCCCACTTATGAGGAGGGCATTTATTCCTTGTCCTTTGAAGAAAGGAGAAGTATCAAAGAATCTGTGGACATGTTTTCAAACCACCACAGACCCCTACTTTACACCATACACAAACAGCAGCTCCAGGTGTATTACAGACCTAAATGGGACGCAAACTGAACTGCAGTCCTCAGAAATGCAAATTGTAGCCATAGTGACATCCCACTACCCACACACCAGTTTGGGAAAAATGTAAGTTTGAAAAAAACAAGCGTTGGTGAGAATATACAGAGCAGCTGGAGCTCTCTGACACTGTTGATGGGAGTGGGCATCGGCACGGACCCTTGGAAAGCGGTTTAGTGTCCAGTGTAACCCCGTGATTGACTTCTGTGCTCCAGGACCGTGCATAGGTATGCACAGCCCCTGTGTCCCTCGACAGTAGAAGGCTACCTCATGGGAACTGAGCGATACGGTGAAAACTAGAGCCACACGCCGCAAAATGGACGAACCCCACAAACATAACATTGAGTACAGTAGCACCACACAAAAGAGCGCGTACAGCGTGACCCCGTTTGTACAGTTCAAACCTGTGAGCGCTGAGCAGTCTGGTTACTGAAGAAGTGACCTGGGGAAATGGCTGTGGGCTGTGGAGAAGGAAGGGAGGGGCTCTGGGAGTTGTTCACTTTCCTGGTGGGTGTGGTTACACCATGTTTGCCTGTCCCATCGCAGTGCTGGTGTTCTGTGCACATTTCCGTGTTCACGTTATGTTTCACAATGAAACCAGCTTTTAGAAGGGAAACCTCCACGCATTGGGGTAAGTGTGTTTGGAAGCCTACTGCAGGCACAGGGACTAGTGTTCCTCCAGAGGCCAGGCGGAGGACGGGCACCCGAGGAGTGAGGTCACAGTGGGGGAGTGTCCTGGCCGGGGTGTAGCCCGTGCAGGCTGGGTCTAGGACGGCCCACGGGCAGTGGAAAAAGCTTGGTATTTCACTCTTTTCCTTTGTTCTTTGACTTTTTAGATAATTGTAGATTCACATACCTGTTGCCATTGAGTCAGTTCTGACTCATCGTGAGCCTATAGGACTGAGTAGAGCTGGTCCACGGGGTTTCCAAGGAGCAGCTGGTGGATTTGAACTGCTGACCTTTGGGTTAGCAGCCATAGTTCTTAACCACTGTGCCACCAGGGCTCCAGATTGACATACAGTTGTAAGAAATAATCTAGAGAGATCCCTCACGCCCTTCCCCAGTTTACCCTAGTGATAGCATCTTGCATAACTAGATACAATATCAACTGGGACATTGACCTTACTCAGATTTAATTAGGGGTGTGGTGTGTGTGTGTGTGTGTGTGATACTACCAGTGAAGATGCAGAGCAGTCCCTCACAGCGACTCCTCCTACTCTACAGTAGCCACCCCCACCACCCTTTACCCTCCACCCCCACGCTCATCTGTTCTTCGTCTCTGTGACTTTGGCTGTTGTGAATAATGCTGCTGTGAGCATTGGGGTACAAGAATCTCTTTGAGTCTCTGCTTTCAAGTCTTCTGTGTGTACACCTAGGAGTGGAATTGCTGACCATATGGATTCTGTGTGTAACTTTTGGAGGAACTGCCAGACTCTTTTCCCAGCGGCTGCACCATTTTACATTCCCACCAGCAATGGGTGAGGGTTCCAGTTTATTCACATCCTCACTGACACTTGGTATTTTCCGTTTTTTGATTATAGTCATCCTAGTAGGTGTGAAAGGTCCCTCGGTGGCACGCCAACGGTTTGCACTGACTACTAACCGAAAGAACCCACTTAGCAGTGCCGCAGAAGAGAAGCTTGGTGATGTGCTTTCATAAAGATTACAAGCCAAGAAAACTCTCTGGAGTAGTTTTACTCTGTAACACATGGGGTTGCCATCAGTCGAAACTGACTCCATGGCAAAGGGTTTAGTAGGTGTTAAGTAAGATTGACTTTTCTGCATTTGGATATTTAATTGACCCAGCGCCATTTGTTGAAAAGGCTGTCTTGTTCTACTGCTGTGAAGTGTCATAAATCCAGGGTCAACTTCCTGTGGCTGTGGGGGTCTCTGTGGGACCCTCCATTGCTGCTGCTCCGAGCATTCTGCAGTGACCACTCCAGTTCTCCTGCCTACGCCTCTGTTGACTACCCTCTTGACTATGCTTGACCTGCTGGACACATCCTCCCAGCCTTCTTGGGCCCTGGTCTCTCCCTGGTTCTCCTTGGCCCTGGGCCCCTCTGAGGCCTTTCTCTGTCCACGCTCCCTGGCCCTTCCCCTTGCATCACCACCTCAGCCCTCCGACCACCTCCACCCTCCTTTGCTCCCTAAGCAGGTCTCTTTTCCCACCCTCTCTCCTCCCTGCTGTGTGTGTGGTGGGGGGCGCCTGGCCTCCTTCCTGCAGTGTTGCAGCTCCCTCCCATCTCCTTTCCTCAGTTTCTGAGACTGGATCGGATCACATCCCTTATTTGTTTGAAAACCTTCTGTGGTTCCCATGGCCTGCTGGACGGAGGCCAGATGTCTCAGCCTCGGATAGAAGATACACCATGATCCAGCACAGGTGTCACTGGGACCTTGGTCCCCATCTCCACTGCAGCCACACCTGAGGCTTCCCTCAGCCAGGACCTGGCACTCACTTTTCCTTTCCCTCCGTCCTCATCCCCACCCTGCCCTCCCTGCCCCAGCCCTTGACACCCTCTGTTCACCTGATATCCACCCCAAGTGCTGGGGCACTGCAGACCTCCCACCCAAAGCAGAGCTCCTCCTGTAGTTCAGGTGGCTCAGAAGTTAACACAACACAGAATCTCCCCACCTATCTGCTCCCTCCCCACCCTTCTCTGCAACCATGCTTATGTGTGTGTCTTTCTCATTTTTCTTATGTAAATATAAATTTATATCTTCCTTTTTACACAAACCAAAAACCAAACCAAATGTTGAGTCCATTCTGACTCATAGTGACCCTGTAGGACAGAATAAAACTGCCCCATAGGGTTTCCAAAAAGCAGCTGATGGATTCGAACTGCCAGCCTTTTGGTTAGCAGTGGAGCTCTTAACCACTGCACCACCATAGTATATACATGATGTTATACCTTTTCACTGAACCGTATATCTTAGAGATCTTTCTATAATAGTACATGAAAAGCTTCTTCATCAAATGAGTAATATTCCATTGTGTGAACATACTATGTTTATCAGACCCCTTTAATAGACATTTAGATTATTTCGATGTTTTCTGTTATAAACCCTGCTGCAGCAAATGCCTCGCTGCCATTTGCCCCATTTCACACTTGTACAGGTAGCGCTGAGAGCAGGATTGCGCCCCCTGGGGGATGGCAGTGTGAGAAAGCACCCGGAACAGAACTCCTGACTTCCCCCGCACACCCCTAAAGCTGCTCTGGGGCCGGCCCTTTCAGAACGGGGACCCTGCCTCCTCTCTGCCCTTACCCTCCACATCCCATGCGCCCGTCCACTCTCCCACCCCGGCTGCGCCATCTCCTGAACTGCTGCGCTCACACAGCCCGCCCTTCAGAGCAGTCGGGCTCTAGGCGGCTTTGCTGGGGCCAGAGCTTCTGGCCCCCTCAGTGCCCTCCGAGCGAGGGGACCCAGGCTCCTCGCTCCCCGGGGAGACTCGCTGGGATCCCCTCCTTCACCCTCGGGTCTCAGCGCAGCGGCCTCGCGGAGACAGCCACCGGTGCGCGCTGCTTCTCCGCCACCAGCCACAAGCTGCCCCAAGTGCTGGGTCTTCCTCCGCAGCCCGTGCCAGACGCTGAGCCGCACGCGACTGGGCAGGTGCCGGGAGGGCACTCGCTGCCTCCCTTCCCGCGGTCTAAGGGAGACCCCTTTTCCAGGCGCCAGGCGCATCCTGGAGGAGGAGGGGAGAGCAGGGCGTGGACTGTGCACTCCAGAAGCTTGCCGTCTAGTGGAAGAGACCGGCCCAAGAAACAGTGCAGCTCGGCGTCTGGCTCTGCCTGTGGCCAGTGCCAGGAAGCCCACTGGGCTGCGCCCTGAAAGGTTAGCGCTGCCGGCTCTCCTCTGGAGACTTGAAACCCTGACG